TAAGAAAATGGGATTGGGTGGTATGGACTCGATTCATCTGACTCAGGACAAGGACAAATGGAGGGCTATTGTGCGCACGATAAATGAACCTTCGGGTTCCATATAATATTGGGAAATCCTTGAGTAGTTGAGCTAGTAGCGGCTTCTTAAGAAGAAATCAGCTCCATGCAGTTAGCTAGTTAGTATCTGGACTATATTGCACCGAATGGTAGAATGATCGATGAATGGTAAACTGGAAACGATTTGCAAGGAAGTGGTCATGTCCTAATCGAGGTACTAATCCGGCATTTGCTTGAAGAACTTGAGGGAAACCACGTCAGTCAGGAGAGCTCGTATCCCGATCGAGATTCGAAACGAGTACTTCACGAATAAGATGTTGTGTTTATATCAAACCGTTTACTTATAAAGTTACAATTTTATGAATTAGCTTATGTTATGTACTTACAACTGACATCCTTATAAACAGATCACCCGTTATGCAGCCAATAGAGTGCATAGCAGGCAGGCGTATTGTCGTAACAAATAAGAATTCCGTTATTGCAGTGGCTCACAATATATTTCAAGGCAAATAACGAACTCTTTTGTCAGTATATCTGTATATCTGGTCTGTCTGATGTATCTACTACGATGCCTACGATGCCACTGAAGAACGAACATGGTGAAGAAGTCGTAACGGACATGCCATTATAAATGTTTACATTTCTACAGTTTTATATTCCATGAATTTGACCGGAGAATAAACTGCTAAACGCAGAGAAAGTTTGCCATATCCCACGTGTCGCTATGAACATTTAATGCAAAAACCATTCAGAATATGTTGTGTCTTAGTAAAAGTAATTTTGAAAAATAACTGAGAAGCTATTTCATGAAACAGGAAATATAAATATTTCCCAGGAGAACTCACAAAGCCTATTATTTCACGTTGCACGCATTTTTAGTGCCACATATTTATTATTATTATTATTATTTGAAGGTAGGGTGGAGAAAACTACATAATAAGGAGCTTCATAACTTGTACTCTTCTCCAAGTATAATTAGAATGATCAAGTCAAGGAGGATGAGGTGGACAGGGCATGTAGCACGAATGGGGGAGAAGGGTAATGCATGCAGGATATTGGTGGGAGAGCCAGAAGGAAAGAGACCACTGGGAAGACCAGGGCGTAGGTGGGTGGACAATATTAAAATTGATCTTAGAGAGATAGGATCGGATGGCATGGATTGGATGGATCTGGCTCAGGATAGGGACCAGTCGAGGACTCTTGTGAAGAGCGTAATGAACCTTCAGGTTCCATAAAATTCTGGAAAGTTTTTGAGTAACTCCACAATTGGCTGCTTCTCTAGAAGGGCTCAGTTCCACGAGTGATTATTATTATTATTATTCCCGGTCTAGAAAACCGAGATTAACGACCGTGGGGATTCGTTGCGCTGACCACGCGACACCCTCTATCCGCTAAAGTTGGCACTAACTTCGCCAACAAGCGGAGGTCGCTCGGTCAGTATAGTTCGCTTGCGGGTTCAAGCCACGGGGTGTAGTGTGTGTGTGTGTGTGTATATATTATTATTATTGTAACGTGTTTCGTTACTGTAGACGCCGTAGAGATGGTTAATTGGTTTATTTAACAATCTACAAATAACGGCTACAATTAATTATCACAATATTACTGGTTTCCACACTTTACAAACCCTACAACAAAGTCTCTTAACACGATCTTCACTTGTTTTCACGTACTAATAACGCGGGAGACATGCAAGTCTCCGTGAATTACACACTCCAGATATAACTGGTTATCCCGAACTATCACTGATTCTCNACGTCGGCTCCGCTCGGCTCACTTCGGCTCCGCTCGTGACGTCACCGCGCGTTGCGCGTTGCATATCTACCAGGATGCGGGGTGATTACTCGCCTATTACGCGAGCGCTACGTAACCGCTGGGGAGGTAGGGGTCAACATGTCACATTATTATTATTATTATTATTATTATTATTATTAACCAGGAATTAAATAAATAATTTTCCTGGGGAGTAAAGCGCGGCCGGCGCGTAAGGCTGACAACTTTACCGCCATCTTTGAGCCGATTGCCTAGATAATGTGGGACCCTCAACGTCTCACAACCCTATGGGCCTTCATGGCCTGTTACATGGATAGCTTTAATTACTTATTATTAAGTGCTTATTACTTATTGACTGTTGTTATCAATTTGTCGGACACAATCTCAAAGTGTTTCCCTTTTATGTTTATAAATGTAGATTTTCAAGCAATGTACCATGCATAATGTACAGACATGCTTATTTCCATACAAAATTGAATAATTGAATGATTCATTTGTTATCTCAACAAAGTCGAAAGCTAAAGAGAATTTTTAAAAGGCAGCCGTATTGCTACAAATACTCTATCAAAAAAGGCCTTTATAATGGTTCTGTCTTTCTCAAAGGCTAATTCACACACACACACACACACACACGCACACACACACACACATATATATATACTCGTATATATATTATTTTAGGACCCTCTTTTATTGCTAGTGGGGTGGGACTAAGTCCCTTGTACTGCGGCCACTTCAGGCCTATTGTATCAGCCTCAGATGATAGGTGATTGTGGAGGAATTGGTGGAATGAAGATTGGCAGGGGAAACCGAAGTACTCGGAGAAAACCTGCCCCAGCGCCAATTTGTCCACCACAAA